GCTATGAAGCTATCCACAGGCTCTGCAGCGCAGGTTTGATTCCCAGCCGGCCAGGGAGATTCCCACATGGTGCGGCAGACCTCTCCTGTTGTGCCCACTGCTCCCCACACCAGTGTTTTCTGTCTGTCTGCCTGATCTGCTCCCCACTCTGTCTCTGGTGAATCCTCTCACCCTCCTGTGCCTCTGGCCTATACCCCAGCTATTGTATAAATAAAAATAAATCTTTAAAAGAAAAAAAAAGAGAAAGATATACAAGAAATCCAAATAGGGAAAGAAGAAGTAAAACAATCATAATAATATACACAGAGAACCCCAAAAACCCCACAGATAAACTAATCAAAAAAATCAACCAATTCAGTAAAGTAGCAGGATACAAAATCAACACACAAAAATCAGTAGCTTTCCTAAATGCAAACAATAAATCTGAAGAAAATATCAAGGAAACCACCCCTTTTATAATTGAAATTAAAAAAATCAAATACTTGGGAATAAATCTTACAAAAGAGGTAAAGGACCTAGACAAAAAAAATTATAAAACATTGTTAAAAGAAGTAGAAGACAGGCGCAGCTTTACTGACCCCCACCTTGGGTCTGTGAGGTCCACCCAGGAGCAATAAACTTTCCCTTCCTTTGAAAAAAAAAAAAAAGAAATAGAAGACACAAAGAAATTGAAATATATCCCTTGCTCATGGATTGGAAGAATTAACATTATCAAAATGGCCATCCTACCAAAAGCAATCTTCAGATTCAATGCTATTCCAATAAAAATTTCAATGACATTCTTCAAAGAAATAGAACAAATACTGATGAAATACAGGTGGAGCCACAAAAAAAAACCAAATAGCCAAAGCTCTCCTGACTAAAAAGAAGGGGAATGGAGATATCACACTCCCAGACTTCAATCTATACTGCAAAGCCATAATAATCAAAACTGCATAGTACTAGAACAAAAACAGATGCACAAACCAATGGAATTGAATATTAAACCCAGAAATAAACCCACAGATTTATGGACAACTAATCTTTGATAAAGGAGTAAAGAATATGCAATGGAACAAAGAAAGTTTGTTTAACAAATGGTGCTGGGAAAACTGGGCTGCTACATGCAAAATAATGAAGTCAAGCCACTACCTCACACCAGACACAAAAACCAATTCAAAATGGATTAAGTATTAGACATAAGACCTGAAACCATAAAATATATGGAAGAAAATATAGGAGAAACACTCCATGACATAGACTTCAGAAACATCTTCAAAGACACATCACCCAAAGCAAAGATAGTGAAGGAAAAGATAAACAGCTGGGACTACATCAAATTAAAAAGTTTCTGTACAGCAAAAGAGATACTAATCAAAACAAAGAGACACCCTACTGATTGGACAAAAATGTTTGTACACAATACTAATGATAAGGGTCTGATCACAAAGATCTACAAAGAGCTGAGAAGACTCAACAAAAACAAAGAAACTAACCCAGTCAAAAAATGGGCAGAAGAGCTAAAAAGACACTTTTCCAAGAGGAAATGCAAATGGACAAACAGGTATATGAAAAAATATTCAACATCACTTGTAATCAGGGAAATGCAAATCAAAACCACAATGAGATACCATCTTACACCAGTGAGAATGGCACATATTAAAAAAACTGGCAACAACAAATGTTGTCAAGGATGTGGAGAAAAAGGAACTCTCCTACACTACAGGTTGGAATGCAAACTGGTCCAACCACTATGGAAAGCTGTGTGGAGATTCCTCAAACTACTAAAAATGGAGCTTGATCCAGCAATTCCACATCTACGGATCTACCCAAAGGACACAAAAACATTAATTCAAAAGGACACCTGCACCCCTATGTTTATTGCAGCACTATTTACTATAGGTAAGCTTTGGAAACAACCCAAATGCCCCAAAATAGATGACTGGATCAAGAAGATGTGGTGCATATACACCATGGAATATTACTCAGCAATCAAAATAGATAAACTCATGCCATTTGCAGCAATATGGATGGAAATGGAGGGGATCATGCTCAGTGAAATAAGCCAGAAAGAAAAAGAAAAATACTGGATGATTTCACTTATAGGAGGAATGTAGGGGATCCAAATAAGGGATCAGGGGAAAAAATAATTATAATAAAGTAAAACATCAAAAGCAACAGGTAACTATAAACCAGAGACATTCTGTAGGTAAGGGAGAGGGAGTTGGATCAAAACAGGGGTGGGAAGAGCACAAGGGACTATAGTGATGGTACATGGGTGAACTGGTGGTGGGAATTCCATGGGGTCTATACCTGAGAGGATATAGCATACGTTATATTAAAATATAGAATGATGTAAAAATATATAAATTAATAATAATATAAGAATAATAAGAAGGATGAAACAAGATAGGCCATGAGTTGAAGTTGGATAGTAGATACATTGGGCATTCATTACACTAGGCTCCTCTTTGAAAATATTTAAAAATTTTTGTAATAAATATCAAGTGAACATGCCTGAAACCATCATAAAACTTTGGACACAGAATCTCTGGGATAAGTGGGTAAAGACCTACTTTTTTTTTTTACTTTTAGATCTTTATTTTTAGTAAGTAAAAGTATTTCTTTAAGTGTTTACAAGTCTGATACATCATATATATATTTTATATATATAAATATATTAAATATTTATATAAATATATAAAAAGTATAATATATAAATATATTAATATAAAAACACATATATACAGACTTCTCTGTATTCATTTTTAGCTTTCTTTCATAGAAGAAGGTGGTGTCAGAAAGAAAAAGAATTTATCATATGATGTCGGTTGAAAAATGCACCAACCTCAGATAAAGATTCATTACCATCATTCCTACTTTTGATGTAAACTTGTTAATTTCTTTCAGAATAGGCCTTTCCATTCATGGAACTTAGTGTTCAAGATAACTTCAGCACAACAACACACACCGCATGGAAAGAATAGTAAAAGAAAAATCAGTGAATTTCATTTCAATACTATCTGTTGAGTACTACCTGTGGAATAGGTATTGGAGTAAGTATTAAAGATGCAAGGGTGAAAAGGTGAGGTCCAGGGGAAAAAACATGAGTAGTCAGTGTGGTATGAGCAGAAATGGAACAATGTTCAGGGATCGATGCCAGGGGTGTACTGGCAGAGGCAGTGATGGGGGATGGGTGGAAGGGGAGATGGTCCCTCAAATACAGGTTTTTCCAGAAATCTGAAAGTGAAGTCCCTGTTTGGTATGATTTGTTAGATTATGATTATGATTGTTATTTGCTGTTGCCATTGCTCTATATGGAAAAATTTGTTATGTGCTCCTGGATACCATCACCCTCTCCTCCTAAAAAAACCCTGCCAAATCATATCAGATAAGAACATTTCCCTTGGGGGCCTCCCCTGGTGGCACAGCGGTTGAGCGGTGGGCTGCGAAGCTATCCGCAGCCTCTACAGTGCTGGTTCGATCCCCGGCCACCAGCGAGGGTCCTACATGGCGGGACAGACCTCTCCTGCCACCCGCTGCTCCCCTCAGCAGTGTACTTAGTCGCTCTGGTGAATTCTCTCACCCTCCCGCACTTCTGACTGTACCCAGTGCTTGTATAAATAATAAATACATAAATAAATAAATAACATTTCACTTTGTGATAGTTGGGGGAAACCTGATTCACAGAAAGCCTCTTGGAGGAGATGTATTTGAGCAGAATTTTCTTTTTCCATTCTTCTTTTAATGTTTTATATTTTTATATTCTTATATTTTTGTTAGTTTTTGGACATTACTTGATTTATCTCCTCCAGTATGGTCCTTGCAGTTCTCCCACCACCGTAGCACCTGTGAAGATCTACTTGTTAAAAAAAGCTCTCTGACAGCCTCACAGACAATGCTATTTGGGAGTTACTGACCCAGGCTATGCATTATAAATGAAGAGTGGTTGTCTTCTCCTGGTCAGGGATTCCTTCCAGGTATTCACCACGCTAGTGATTTGCTAGACCTAGTATTAATACGGTGGTCCCCAGGGAAAGGGGAGGTTCCAAGTTCCCTGCCTTACCCAAGAGAGGGTGGAACTGAGCAAGGGAAGAGAAGAAGCTGGAGAGGAGACTGAAGAAGGGAGAAAAAGGGATGGAGAGCAAGAAGGAGACCTGAGGAGGCACATGGAGCAGAGAGATGTGCGAAAAAACTGCACTTGCTTCTTGATCCCGGACTGGTTGAAACAGATGTGGGTGAGAGACCCGTGGGGAGGTTAACAGTGGCAATTTTTATCTTGTTTTTGATTTTGCGTTTTTCCTCCCAGACTTGTCTGGCTGTTTCTGACTCTTTTCTATGGGTCCCCTCTGGAACATATTTTATACTTGTGGCAGGCTTTCAGGCCTCAGTGGCCCTGTTTTGAGCCAATCCTGTTTGGCTGTGCATTTACCCACGAGGGGATATATAACTTCAGGTGCTTGTTTTGGAAACTTTATTCTTTCCTTTTTCTGTGTTGCACATTAATTGTATTAAAATTCCTTTCCATTAATGGTCTTGTGCACTAGAGTATGTTTTGTCTTCATGCAGTGGATGGCAGAACCTATTTAGAGCAAGCAGGTTTGGGGATTCCGGGGTGCTCCTCTCCCTGTCCTGTAACACTAGGTTTGCATTTGAGAAGTTATAATGATGAACGCACCTTCACCTTCACAAAAATTTGTGATTTAACCCAGTGTCATTTATGTATTGACTTAGTGTATATTTGGGTTGCTTGAAAATGCTAAATTTCATTTTTTACCCCTAAATTAGATCTCTTTCATTAAAAAAGTCTATGTATCCAAGCATAAATCCAAGCATAAAAACACATGTTTTAAAATTTATATTGCACTTGTTTATACCTTTTATGTTAAGAATTCAAGTGTCATAAATTTAAGAATAATTGATTCAAATCAAAGGGGAGTAACAAAGGAGAGTGCCACACAAACCAAATTTATGTTTCTTACCTGAGAACAAGTTCAATAGAAGCAGATAGGGTTTTTTAGAATACAATAGGAAAAAATATTTAATATTGTCTTCTGCATTTTGGGGGCATAGTTCAGATTCCAACTTAGCCATGAATTTCTATTTGATACCCTCTGAACACTCAAGCCTTTGATGTTAGTACATTATTACTTTGAAAGTCTTTGTTGTTATGCTTGTCCATAAAAATCATTCTGTCATTATTCCTCTTCTTTGCGGAGATCTCCATCAGTCTTTCCTGTTCATGCTTTTCACATTCCCTTGGCTCCATGGCTGTTATCCGCTGAATGACTGATCTTCAGTCCTTTCCAGTCTTACCAAATTGTGCACCTATGGAAACTAAACAGTACACATCATGGGATCCTGGGCATTTTAAAGAGTATAATAACTGTGTGCTGAATAATCTAGGCCGCCCTGCACTCAAATTAATTTCTTATTATCTGGTAGTTGCCCAGATTGAAGCTTAGGAGAGATGAAGGCAATTCAAATATGAAATTTGTTTTCAGCTAAACAGTCAAGTACTTGCTTTTCTCACAAATGAAATCCATACAGCAATGTTTTGCAAGGTGTGCTTTTTATTTGAAGAACTTACATGTAATAACTTACATTAATAATTAATTAATGTAATTAATTAATGTAATTAATTAATAACTTACATTAATAATTGCAAATTAATATCCAGCATTTCCAAGGAATTTTTGGGCTGAGCCCCTCAACTTGGCATTTATCCATGGCTGGTCTGTTTGGCATTTGAGATAAAGTCCATTTGACATAACTGTTTCCTGGAAGTGAAAGAACAAATTCCTCTGAGCATTCCTCATGGTGTGAGGAATTGAAATTATTTGACCACTCTCTTCAACCATAGCCTCAATTTCCTGACATTCTGAGAGTTTGTGAGGAGCACATTCTGTTGTGTGCTGGCTCACAGAACATGCTGCGGGAGCTGCCCGTGTGAACACTCTCATCTCTTGTCTGCGCTGAGAGCAAGGCCTGCTGGTGTGCTGTGCATGTATATGTCCGCATGTGTGCACATGTGTGCATGTGTGTTTGTTTTCTTGACAAAGCATAGGGTTTAACATTGATCAGTTCAGCTAATAATGTGATGAATGTTAAAACAAACTTTTAAGAAAAAGTGAAGTGGTGACATAATACTATGTCATGCCAACAACTTCAAAGTCATCTATATATTGCTAGTCTAACCTGTAAATCCTATGCTCCTTCTTTTTGTAAAGTAGCATTAAAGGAAAACTAAGATTATCCCTGAACCAGAACCCAGAATTTCAGAGATCTTTTATAACACATTGCTCTACTCTTGCCAAATAAAATACTTGTCAAGCAAATCTCAGAATGGCTTAGATTAATTCCACAACTGGCAGTTATGATGTTAGACTTGTGGTGTTCCTTCCTCAGGTTAGGGAAATTCCATTCAAAGTTCCCAAATACTTTTAGTTTTGTTTTTTTTCCCCCAGCATGTAGAATTTAATATAGCTAAATAGTTTTTATTTTAAAAGGCAATTCAGTATCTACAGAATGTTGGTCACAACTGTGTCTTACTTGTAAAAATCATTATAAAATCCCTTTATTAGAATTTCTGTTCATGTTCTGTGCTTAAAAATACACAACTCTGGGCTGTAATTGGTAGCATATGGTGCTATTACCTTCTGTAGAAATTCATTTCCCTCCCCAAACTTGATGTTAATAATTTGATTCATTAGACTGAAAACTCAAGGAAAGGTTACTGGCTTTATCTTTCCTTCTAGTATGTTCTTTATACTCTTTTAAGATTTGGTAAGCTGGGCCTCCCTGGTGGCACAAGGGGTTAAGATGCAGCCTGTGAAGCTGTCCACAGCCTCTGCAGCACAAGTTTGATCCCCGGCCAGCCAGGGAGGTGACCCACATGGCACAGCAGACCTCTCCTGACTCACCCGCTGTTCCCCTCAGCCTGTTCTGTTCCCTGCTCTGTCTCTGGTGAATCTTCTCATCCCCCACACTTCTGGTCTGTACCCCAGCTCTTGTAAGCAAAAATAAATAACTCTTTGGAAAAAAAAAGATTTGGTAAGCTCTGCTCCTTAAAAATTTTCCTTGGATAAAAGGCTTATTTATTCAACAAATACCTACCATATGCCAGAGACTTCAGATACATGGCCCCATTTGATCCTCAGGACACTATGAGACAGATAAAAACCCTGCTCTGAATTTGTTCTATAAATGAGGAAGCCAGAACTTAAAAAGTTTTAAGTAACCTGGTCAATACCTCACTACTAACCAGGCATGTTGTGTCCAAAGGCTGGGTCTTTCCACTTCACCGGCTGCTCCCTAGGTCACACTCTTGCAATGCAGCATGAGAGAAGATTTTACGGAGGATGTGGCAGTATGAGTCAAACTATAAGGAAAATAGAGAATCAACACATGTATAGCATTGCTGGGCATGAAAATCATATCATTAGACAGAAGGTTAGTTCAGTAATTCTATCACACTAATCACCTCCATGTCCCTGTTCTTGGTGCAGAGGATGGAACTAAGAGTAAATAATCCCTGTCATAGCATGGTTGACAGTAGCATATGGTCTCACCGTCCTTCCCACTTATGTACTAATTCATTTCATGCTTCCCTTTTCCAAAAACCTCAGAGTACCCAGGAGCCAAGAGTCCAAGAGAGGACTGGAAGCAGTCCCTGGCAGGTGGAAGATACCTGGCATGGGCATAAACTCTCATGGATCTGTCTGTCTCAAGCTCGGGTCCCATCTCACAAGGTGGGAGCTGCTAGCAGGCAGAGGGAAATTGCCTGCAAAGATCCACTGACATGGATGAACTTCTTGGCTCACCTGTCTGAGACTTTATTCAGGGTCTGGTTGCTTGGTGGGTCCTACCTTAGCTCTTCCCACACAACTGCATCTACCTGCACTGCTCACTCATCTCATGTGGGGGTGAACTGATCTCCATTTCTGTCTCCCCACCAGAGAACTCTTCAAAGGGGAGGGAGGTTCACCCTCTCTCCCTCTGGTCTTACACAGGTCAGGGTGCTTAGGGGCTGAAATGGGTTTGAGGTATGGTGGGAGAGATGGGGGATAGAGAGAAAGAGCTTCAAGTCTAAATGCTGAGAGACTTCATAAGAGAAAGAAGGTGTGGTGCACCTGGTGTTTGTCTGACCCAGAACTGGACAGGAGTCTTTGGGTTTTAGGCTCCATCTTTCTCCCTGTCTGCCTGGGTTCCATGCACTAACCTCATAAATCAAGTGGGAGCCGGAAACAAGCCAGCTGGCTTGAATTTGGTTTCCAAAAGTTTTGTGTGTGACCAGTGTGGTATTTTCACAATATTTGATTGTGTAAACTTTTAAGGTAAGACATACCTCTCTCCACAAGCCTAGTTATACTTTATTTCTTTTTACTTATCTGGTAGTAAGCCCCAAATCCTGAGTTATATGGAAATACTGGTATCAGGAGTACCAGAAAAGCAAGAGACAATGATACCTCCTCCTCCCTGTCAACCACCTATCTAACCTAATGTCATGTTTTGTCAATAACTCTTATCCAAATTTTTCATACCCACTGTAATGACTCTAACATAAGTGCTAGAAAATGCTTCTTATAGCCAGATACTAAATCTTTAGCCTCTGCAGAACATACAATGTCTATCATGACTACTCAGTTCTAGTGTAGGGAAAAAGCAGTAGTAGACAATATGTTAATTTCAATCAAGATTTATTCATAGGGTCTCCATGGTGGTGCAAGGTGTTAAGCATCAGCACTATGAAGCTATCTGCAGCTACTGCAGCACGAGTTCAATACCCGGTCAGGGAGGTGACACACATGGCACAGCAGACCTCTCCTGTCTCGCCCACTGCTCCACCATTCAGCAGTGTATTTCAGTCAGTCAGCCTGTTCTGTTCCCCACTCTGTCTCTGGTGAATCTTCTCACCACTACCCCCCACCTCTGGCCGTCACTCCAGCTCTCGTATACATAAATAAATAAATCTTTAAAAAAAGATTCATTCATAGACACTGAAATATGATTACTTATGAGTCATAAAATATTATCCTTATTTTTCCCAACCATGTAAAAATGTAAAATCATCATTCTCACTAAGATCATAGGCCATATAAAAACATGTTGGTGGTCTAAATTTGGCCCTTGACCCCTTGTTATTGGTTAAGTTGTGACCCTCCAAAATTTCCTATGTTGTGCCCCCAGTGCCTCAAAATGTAGTTTTATTTAAAGAAAGGATCTTTGCACATACAGAGTAATAATGTGTGAACACACAAGGAGAGAGACCATCAGAAGTTGGCAAAGACACTTAGATTCTCCCTCACAAAGCTCATTAGGAACCAACTCTGTGACACCTGATCTTGGATTTCCAGCCTACAAAACTGGGAGACAAATCATTTGTTATTTAAGCCACCCAGTGTGGTACTCTTTTAGGCAGCCCCTCGAACAAATACAGTCTTGTTTTAATGAAGCTTCATCATCTCTCACTTCCATATGGCCCTAGTTGCCTAACCACTGTTGCATCGGGCAACACCACACTGATAAAGAAACAGGAGTCATGGAGCAGGGTACATAATGTGGGATGCTGCTGAAGAGCAAGATCCTGGCCTTTTTATTGATGCACAGCATTGGTTGTAAGGGGGCGGAGCAAAAGAAAAGGGGAAGGAGATTACTGGGAAGGAGATTAAAGAAAGGGGAAGAATGTAGATGATTAGGGATTTTGAGACTGCCCTCCAGGCACTTCTCATCTGCTTGATGACTTGGTATTGTCATTGAGATCATGCCCTAATCCCCAGCCATGGTTCCAATCTTATCAACAAGGCTTTCCACTGATCAGCTTCTGGGGTCACTTGTTATACATAGGTCCTCGGCTCCCCTGGGTGTTCCCGGTTAACCTCATGATGCATAGCCTTCCCAGCATGATCAAGCTTTGTGCTCTTATTTGTTTTGAGGGGCACCTTGAAGGGTTGGGCTCTGTACTTAACTGACCAGGCCATCTTGACCTTGATTTTTGTCAACTATAGTTGACAAAATGGTGGCAAAACAGTCCGCTCAGGAGTAGCAGACCCACAGACCACTCCTCCTGTTGTAGAGCAACCCCGATACAAAACGGGGTGCCTGACTGTGGGTCCTCACCCGCGCACTTAAAAGGACTTATCAATGCTCTACTGCAGGCACACGCGAAAGGTTAATAAAAGGTTTATTTACAAGGGAAGGGGAAATGAGGAAATGTACAGCTCAGGGAGAAAAGTGGGAGACAAAGTTTTAAATGACTCCTACCCAATCTGCCAATCAGGAATTCCAAAATGGCGCTCTGAGAGCTGGCTGCGAGCCAGGAGCCGTGAAGCCAGGAGGCGAGCCGATAGCGAGCCCCCCCCAAGGCCCAAGTGTTTGGTTTTTATATCCAACCTGGCTGCCCAACTCCACCCTCAGGTCCCAGCCACCCTCCCTTTGGTGGTGACGGGATTTGTCTTTCCCAATGTCTTGATGGCTTTAGTCTGGAGTGGGGGTGGAGTCCACAAAGCCTGTATGGGATTAGCTCAGGACATCCTTTCCCCCTAACACTCCTACTTCTGCTTCTACCCTTTCTCCGACCAGCCCCACCATCTGCTCTCACACAGCAGCCAGAATAGTATTAGTTTAGACCTATTCCTCTTTTGTTCTATTCCTCTTAAGTTTCCTGCTCTTGAAGTCTTTCCTCCCAATTCCTTCTTTGCCCCTCTTCCTGCTGAAACTTTCCAGGCTGTATTTTGACTATTGCCTTCACATTTCCCTTTTCTTCATAAAAATTTAAATGATAATGATGTACACATGTATAAAGGCAAATATAATCCAGGTTGGGCTTGTTATTATATATTCATTGCTATTACACTCACTTTTTCATTCTGATTTTAAAACAAGTTAAAATTAAAACATTATTATGGGTCCTAGGGCTCATAAGGAAGCACTCTCACCTTGTGGTAAGACTGAGGGTGAAATGAGAAGGATTTGGGTCACCAAATCTTTTGGCTCTTCCAACGAAACATGTACTCCAGGATAAAACAGTGCTGCTGGCTCTGCAAGTATTGTTTGGGACATGTTCCCACCCCTTATACATCTTAAGTGTAGTCCTTAAATTACTCCTATAGTACCATTGAGAGGGGATGTATGTGATGAAAATATGGGAGAGGGGCAGTCCAGCAAAAGTAGACAGGCTGAAACCTTCACATGGCATTATGAGTAAGTCCTCCACTCCTCTCCCTCCTCCACAGAAATGCTGTGTTGGCAGGTCAGGAAAACTACTCTCACCCCTTACCTGGTTAACTTCCATTTACCCTCGGCTCTTCCATTTACCATTCCTCAGGAGGACCAGCCCTCACTGCCTCTTGTGTATGGTAGGATTCGGAATTAGATTATGTGGCACTTAATGCAGTTTCTAACTTTAGTCAAGCCAAAGATTAGTTCAAAGAAATGTATCATTAGACCATTTCCTGATTATGCAAAGATCATACAATGTATCTTATTCTCCAAACAGCACTTCTCCATTTTGCTGTTACAGTAATCATGAGGCATCCTGGAAGAGGAGCTTCTTCCTGTAGCACACTGGCTACAATGTCACTAGGTGTAGGTGTGCTCCACTGTCACCAGGTAATAGGCATACGGGCACCTCCATTGAATATGCAGTTCATCATTGACCGAAATGTCATTACGCAATACATTTGTTCTGATGATGATTTACTTCCCCCTCATCCTCTAAAGCTGCAAAGCTGATGACAGGGTCCTGTTTGAGTTTATTCATCATTATGATATCAATGTCAAGCATTATACCTAGAATCCAAATCATATATGGTGAATGAATGAAAAAAATACTTATAATTATACAATTCTACCCAAAGAGAGTCAGTTATTTGAATCCTAAAAACTATTAATAGCTTGGGTTCCCATTAAATTACAAATACCAGCTCATCCTTGGGTCCCATTTGATGTGCTTCCAGTCATGTTCCCAGTTACAGATTCACCAGGACTCTGATCAGGTATTGATTTATATGCTGGGCAGATGGTGGAAGAATAACCATATCTCTGCCTCTAATAAGCCGAGAGTAACTTGTTGAGAAAAAGAGCACACAAATAAATATAAATAAATATAAATAAATATAAATTTTTTAAATCTAAAAATTAGTGCTTGCTGTTGCCACCCAGCAGACCAGCTCCCAGACTGGGCTCGCAGTGCCTAATTGACATCTGGGGCCCTCAACAATGACTTGGTGAGCAACCCTGACTCCAGGACTGGCTGCCAGCTTCTCAGGAGCAGTAGAAGGCCTGAGTCCAAAGCTTGCAGGAGCTAGTTATTCGCTACAGGTTCCCAGCTGAAAAAGAAAGTGTATCCCACACAGCCACATATGGCCTCCTTCTATATCAGGAATCTTAAGCAACCCCTTGCCTTCCTGGCCACCAGAAAAAGGCACGGAGACAGCACTTCTTGGTGAGTGAGGTCCCACAAATCAGACTCTACACTCAGCATGCCCCCTTCCCTCACAAACATCAGAACAAGGTCTAGAAGTGCTTGGGGAGGCTCTAGCACCACTCCCGATCCTACAAGATGCCAAAAGCTATACCCAACATCAAATAAACACCCAGAACAGTGAGGAAGAAGGATTCATACACAACAAAAGCCCCAACTACAGTGGAACAAACACAAAACAAACAATGGGAGAAGGAAAAATACAAATGGCCAAGGAACCCATCAGGGGAATAATACACCACACGGAAAAAATCAAACTCCAGAACCCAACAAAACTACACAGATTTCTTCTTCCTGGCAGATAAAGCATTCAAAATTACCATAATTAGGAATGTCAAAGAACTCAAACATCACAAATGAAACCTGGAAAAACAAATCAGAGAGATATGAGACGATGCAGAGAAGAAAAGGAATGCTATGAGAAACATAATTCACAAACAGAAGATCAAGAGTGAAACTTTAACTGAGAAAATGAACTGCAGGATGTAAAAAAAATTAATGGCAGAGATAAAGAATTTATGAAAATAGAATAGACAATATGGAAGAACAAATCAGTATTCTCAAAAATACAGATATGAAAAGACCCAAGAAAGAAAAGAAGATAGAAAGGAAAAAGAATAAAGAAACATTATGAGAATTATCTGACACCACAAAGAAAAGCCATATAAGAGTTCTTTCTTATATGGAGGAGAAGAAAGAGAGAGAGGAAAAGTAGATGAAAACTATTCAAGGAAATAATTGAAGAAAACTTCCCAAACTTGAAGAAGGAAATGAAAATAGAAATACAGGAAGCTAGAAGTGAAACAAGGCAGAGAGGGCTACGAAAGAGGCCACAGGGCAGAAGGCCAGATGGATGAAATGGCCACACACCTGCCCACGCTCTGAGACCAGAGAATCACCAAAAAGCCCCAAAGGCCAAAAGGCCAAAAACCAAAACCAAGCGCTATAGCCTAACAAAGGACAGTGCCCAATAAGAGGACAGGTCACTTGCAAGCAAAATTTCAAGAGACCTTAGGCTCCAGGAACAGCCACCATGGGGGTTATTTTACAAACAGGGGAAACAAAGAGCTCACTGTATCCACAGGTGACGGCTGCCTCACCCAGGTAGCATCAGTGATGGTCGCCATTGGTCACCAGGATTGTTGGACAGCACTAGCCAGTAGTGATGGCCACTACTGGTCCCGCAGAGGCAGTGTCAGAGACACCCAGTTTTAACAGCTCTTTGTGAGTTGCTGGGTTATACCAACAATAAACAGCTCTTTAAGACACCAGGCCCAGGGCCATTGGTGCTCCTTCCAGGCAATGTCAGAGACAGGACCCAGGCCCAGTCTGTGACAGAGTCCTTTGGCTTCTCTTCCCTCCTCAGAGGTTGGCTGCTGGATGCTTCTTTTCTTCTTTCTTTGGAGGCTGGAACGATCTTCTTTTCTTCAGGGGCTGGCATCTCTCCTTCTTCAGGAGCCCCCTCAACTCCCTCCAACCCTGGCTTATATCCTCTTTCACCCACAAGTCTGATTGGACCATTTGGCACCAGTCAGCTCCTAGCTCACACCTGATTGGTACATTGCAAATGGCAGTTACTGAGCTTTGAGGAACAACTGCCACATCTGACTTGTGGTGGAGCAGCAGGTTGAAAGGACACCTGAGCTCCAAAGAGAAACAAAGATTGAAAGTAAAGGGTGGGAAACAATTCTACAAGCAAGTGCCACACAAAAGAAGGCAGAGGCTGGGCCTCCCTGGTGACCTAGGGGTTAGGTCTCAGTGCTATACTATTATTGCCTGAGTTTGATCCCCTGCCAGAGAGCTAACCCACATATGGCACAGCAGACCTCTCCTGTCACACCTGCTGCTCCCCTTAGCCTGTTCTGCTCCCCACTCTGTCTCTGGTGAATCCTCTCACTCCCTGCACTTCTGGCTTACACCCCAGTTCTTCTAAAATAAAAGAAGAAAAAATGAAAACAAAGGAGACAGGGGCAGTCATACTTTTATCAGCTAAAATAGACTTGAAGTTAAAAAAAAAGCTGAAAAGAGACATGGATGGACATTATATAATGATGAAGGGGACAATACACCAGGAAGACCTAATATTCATCAATATATACTCACCCAAAGAGGGAGCACTGAAATACATTAGACAATATCATCTCTGAAAACATACATTAGAGAAAATATGTATGTGGTAAGAGACTTTCACACCCCACTCTCATCAGTGGACAGAGCACAGGAGCAGAAAATAAAGGGAAATAATAGCCCTAAACAAATATCTAGACCACATGGGCTTAGCAGATATTTATAGGACACTGCACCCCCCCAAAAATCAAATACACTTTTTATGAAGTGCACACGGAACATTCTTCAGGACCAACCACATACTGGATCATATCATCAAGTACATGAAGATCATACCAAGTGCCTTCTTTGACCATAAAGGCATCAAACTAGAAAACAACTATAAAAAGAATGCAAGGAGGGCCTCCTTGGTGCCCTCCAAGGAGTTAAAACACAAGCCATGAAGCTGTCCACAGCCACTGCAGCACGAGTTTGATCCCCAACCAGAGAGCTACCCACATGGTGCAGGAGACCTCTCTTGACTTACCTGCTGCTCCCCTCAGCAATGTATCTCAGTTGATCTGCCTGTTCTATTCCCCACTGTCTCTGGTGAATCCTCTCACCCCCCACACCTCTGGCATGCACCCCAGTTCTTGTATGCATAAATAAATAAATCTTAAAAAAAACATATGCAAGGAGATTCCCTATTATGTGGAGACTGAACAACATTCTATTGAAAGAATACTGGGTTAATGAGAAAATCAGAGAAGAAATTAAAAAGTTAAAAAGTACCCTGAAACAAATAACAAGGATACAATCTTTCAGAATTTATCGGATGCAGCAAAAGCAGTAGTAAGAAGAAATATATGGCAATACACACCCACAACAAGAAAGAAGAAAGAACCCATAGAAAAAACCTAATTTCCCATTTTGAGGAACAACAAGAAGAAGAAAAAAAATTCAAAAGCTGGTAGGAGAAAGGAAGTAACAAAAAACAAACCAGAAATAAATGAAATAGAAATAAAAAGTCAGCTCAGAAGTTGAAAAATAGACAAACCTCAAGGTAGGGTCACAAAGAAAAAGAAGGAGAAAACTCAAATAAACAGGATCATACATGAAAGGAGAAATTAAAACACGCACAATAGAAATCTAGAGATAATTAGAGAACTATGAACATTTAATGCAAGGTATTCCAATAATCTAAATGACATGGACAAATTCTTAGAATTATACAATCACCCAAGGTAGAATAAAATAGAAATAGAAAACTTCAACAAACCATTTATAAGCAGTGAAATTGAAGCAGTAATCAAAACTCTCCCATAAAAGAAAAGCCCAGGATCTGATGGTTTCACAAGAAAGTTCTATGAAGTGTTCAAAGATGAACTAATGCCCATTCTGTAGAAACTCTTTCAAAATATTGAAAGAAGGAATACTTATCAAACACATGTTACAAAGCCAATATCACACTAATACCAATACCAAACAAAGACAACTCAAAAAAAGGAAACTACAGACCAATCTCCTTAATGAACCCAAATGCTAAAATCATCAATAAAATATAGGGAAAATGAATCCAACAATGCATTGGTTAAGTGGGATTTGTTTCAGGGACACAAGGTGTTTCAACATCCAAAAATTAATTAACATAATTCACCACACCAACAAAAAGAAAAATAAAAACCATATGATCATATTAACAGATTTCAAGACAGAATTTTATAAAACACAACATCCATTTATTATGTAATCCCTTAAAAACTTGGGACAAAAGGAACATATCATAACATAATAAATCCATATATACAAATCCAAAGATAACATCATTCTCAATGGTGAAAAACCGAAATCCTTCCCATTAAGAGGTAGAACAACATGGATGTCCACTCTCACCACTACTTTTTAATTTAATACTGGAAGCCCTAGCTAGAGCAATTAGGCAAGAGAAAGACATAAAAGGAATCCAAATTTATAAAGAAAAAGTAAAACTACTATTATTTGCAGATGATATAATATATTGTGAGAATTCTAAAAATTCAAACAATCAATATAAAGAGGAAGAAATTTTAAAAACCATCCCATTTACAATTGTACAAATAAATACCTGGGAATAAAACTAACATAGGAGGTGAAAGACCTATTCAATGAAAATTACAAAACATTGTTAAAAGAAATATAAGGAGACACAAAATATGGAAAGACATCCCTGATCATGGATTAGAAGAGTTAACATTATCAAAATGGCCATTCTATCAAAAGCAATTTACAGATTCAATGCAATTCCAATAAAAATCTCAATGGTATTCTTCAAAGAAATGGGACAGATATTGCTGACATTCATATGGAATGATAAGAAGCCCCAAATAGCCAAAGGTCTCCTAACTAAAAAAGGAGACATATGGAGGCATTACATGCTCAGACTTCAAATTATACCACCAAGTCACAATAATAAAAACAGCATGGTGTTGGAACAAAAGCAGACACATGGATCAATGGAATCAAATTGAATGCCCAGAAATAAAACTACACATATTGGTAAACTAATCTATGACAAAGGAGCAAAAAATATATACCCTAACAAGGAAAGCCTCTTTGATAAATGGTCCTACCATTTATAAATTGGACTTTGATAAATTGGACTACCATGTGCAAAAGAATGAAAGTAGGCTACTATTTCATACAATACACAAAAATCAACTCAAAATGGATAAAAGACTTGAAGGTAAGACCTGACACCATAAAATATATAGAAGGAAACATGGGTTAAAACACTCCATGCATAAACTGTAGCAACATCTTTGAGGACTCATCTCCAAAAGCAAGGAAAATAAAAGAGAAGATAAATAGCTGAGACTACATCAAACTAAAAAGCTTCTGTACAGTAAAAGAGACAGTAACCAAAATGAAAAGACATCCTACTGAATGGGAGGAAATAGTTGCACACCATATACAACTGATAAGGGACTGATATCAAAGACCTACAAAGAGCTCACACAACTTAAAAAAAAAAACAAAACGAAGAGCCAACAACCCACTCAAAAAATGGGCAGAAGATCTAAGAAAACACTTCTTCAAAAAGAAATGCAGATAGTCAACAGGCATATGTAAAAATGTTCAACCTCATTTATTAGGGGAATACAAATCGAAATCACAATGAGATATCACTACACACCTATGGGAATGGCTCATATTTAAAAAAAAAAACACCTAGAAATAACAAATGCTGGTGTTTGCTGTAAAAAAAAGGAACCCTCTTATACTGCTGGTGGGAGTGTAAAGCGGTCTAGCCACTGTGGAAAGCTGTGTGAAACTTCCTCAAAACACAAAACATGGATCTATCATACAATCCAGTGATTCCACAACTAAGAATGTACCCAAAGGACTCAAAACAGTAATTCATTTTTTTAAAGATTTATTTATTTATAAAGGAAACCTGCACTTTTATGTTCATTGTAGCACTATTGACAATAGTTAAGACATGGAAATAAACCCAATGCCCCATAACAGAAGAATGAATCAAGATAAGGTATGGGCCTCCCCTGGTGGCGCAGTGATTGGTCGCTGGACTGCGAAGCTGCCCGCAGCCTCTGCAGCACCGGTGCCATCCCCAGCTGCCAGTCGAGTGTCTCACGTGGTGCGCAGACCTCTCCTGCCGCCCGCTGCTCCCCTCAGCAGTGTATTTCATCAGTCTGCCTATTCTGCTCCCCGCTCTGGCTCTGGTGAATTCTCTCACCCTCCCGTGCTTCTGACTGTACCCAGTGCTTGTATAAGTAAATAAATAAATTAAAAAAAAAAAAAGAAGATAAGGTATATATACACCGTGGAATATTATCTGTGATCAAAAAGGATAAACTCACGCTGTTTACAGCAACATGGGTGAAGCTGGAAGGGATTATGCTAAGTGAAATAAGTAAGAAGCAAAAAGATAAATATCGGATGGTTTCACTTATTGGTGAAATATAGAGGAACAGAACAATGGGTCAGGAAAAAGACAAAATTTGCAAGTTGATCATAGATCAAAAGCATGCAGCACGGGAGGGAGTGGGAAGAATACAAGGGACATTGGAGTTGGAGCACTGGTGCTATCATGGTGCTAGAACTACAGGGACTTCATCTGAGGGGAGACTATACAAAAATGAACAACATGTAAGATAATTAAGTAACTTTAAAAAATACAAATACCAGTGGTTAATAGTTAATAGAGGCATTATAGTCTAGAATGAGACAGAGAGATAGGAGGGGAAGGGCTCGGACATTGTTCCTGAGCCCATCAACCTGGGAACCACATCTATATTCAGATGTGGTGACACAGCATTACCTTTCATGAGAATTAAGCCAGGACTTCAAATAGTGGTTCTAAAAACCCTCTGCTCTTATTTTTTGACCTCTTCTTAGTTCCCACTTAAAAAAAAAAAA